CTTCTACATAATTTAGCTGCTTGCCTTTTTCTCTGACTTCAAGGGCACTGTGATGGATACGATGTGAATGTACTTAACACTACAGAACTATATACTTTTGAAAGTGGCTAAGATGCTGAATTTTATGCTATAGATAACTTACCACAATTTTTAAAAAAAATGTATCTGAACTATTCCCCCGTTGCTCTGACTACACTCTCTTCAGAGGAAGAGGCCCAGGCCACAGCTGTACCAAGACCCTGCCTGCCTCAAAACACAGCTGATGAGACTCACAGATATAGAGAAAAAACTAGTGGTTATCAGTGGGGAGAGGGAAGGGGGAGGGGCAAGATAGGGGGAAATGGGGGTATTTGTGGGATTATATGAAATTATGTTTGCAACTTTTGAAAACTGTGAAGCACTATAGAATTTAAAGAATCTTTTATTCAATTAAAAAAAACAGCTGATGAGGGACTGGTCACCTGGTCCCATGCTGAGATCTAGCAAAGAAGACTTGACTTAATCACATTATTTGTCTTTCTGGATAGGCTGCAGGGTATATTAAGTGACAAAAGGGGCTGAAAAGTGACTTTCCATCCAACTTCTTCTCCCAAAGCCATTCTGATGGTTCTCCAACAAGGCTTGGCTATTAACCAATCTAATCTATGCACCCTTGGTGGTCTTTGTTCATGCTCCCTTACCTTCACAGAACATTCCAGATTGCTCTTCCTCCTAAGTCCCTCATGAAGCCCACAGCCTGTGATTATTTCCCTTCATTCTCTTCTCTTATGTCCTCTCTTAATCCCTGACCTGTGTCTTCAAAGTCTAGAATCCCTGAAAATACAGTATTTATTATTTTTTAAGGGCACTTGTAGGCCTACCGATAAATGGGAGTAGAATAGGAATGTGAGACCATTTTGCACAGATTCCTAGTTATCCAAGATTTCAAGATTCGGGGAAAAGGATGACAAATCTGGGAGCTAGTGGCCCAGTCACTGCAATTCTCTTCTTTGAACAATAAAAGTGAACCACACAGTAGAGAGAGCTTCCGCAGTGGCTCAGTGGTAAAGAATCCACCTGCCAAATCAGGAGACACAGGTTCAATCTCTGGTTCAATCTCTGGGTCAGGAAGATCCCCTGGAGAAGGAAACGGCAATCCATTCCAGTGTTCTTTTCTGGGAAATCCCATGGACAGAGGAGCCTGGCAGGCTACAGTCCGTGGGGTCACAAAAGAGTCGGACACGACTGAATGACTAAACAACAACACAGCAGAGAATTTTCTCTTCCTCACTTTCCCCACACACCTTCCCAAGAGCACTCCCCCAAAGAAGGAAAAGGAAAATATAAATGTAACACCTTATTCTATAGTTGCTATACTTCTTTCCCATATGGTATCTCACTTGATCCTCAGCTCCCCACAGCTGCAGAGACCGGCCCAGAGAGGTTAAGTAGATCACCCTGAGAAACAAAGCCTGTTAAGTGGCAGACCTGGGGCTGGACCCCAATTCTCCCAGATTCTTGTCCTTGCTTTAGCCGTCAGGCAAGATTGTTTGGAAAGCAGCCCAGTCCCTTTCCTCTTATTGATACAAATTGTGTGCAGATCTTTGGTTTCTAAAGGAAATGGCAAATTGTAAAGAAGATGGTGACTGACTACAGACAAATGAAAGACCCCATTTATATCCCTTTAGAAAAATGAACTGACAACACAGAATTATGTCTGTAACGGGAGGAAAGCTTCTGTTTATTTTTGCACTGTCAATAAGCACTTCCAGACATTGGAACTCAAAACATCTCGGAGCCCCACTTGGTTGAAAGCCTCAAGTTACAAGTAAGGAAGCATTCTTCATTATTATTATGGAGCAAAGATCTGAAACTGAACTGAAATGGGACCTACTTACAAGAAGAAATAGCCTGCTGTTGGGGGGTAGATTGAAAAAAAATCACTCTAATTGATTAGAATCACATTAAGGAGAAGGTGAAAAAAATTTCCCAGTTTGTACAGTCAGCTAGTGCTGTTCAGGAATACATTATTAAAACTACAGGCTGACCGGGTCCCTTAAGGTCTTCTTTCTTCTAGCTCATGCTGACCACAGTGTGAGCACTTGAATACTGTTGACACCCCCACAAGTGGTACAGAGTCAAGTGTCCAGACATGTGGGAAACTTCAATATCTGGGACACAGTTGCACTCTTGAAAGTGCTTGGGAAAAGTGGATGGGCAGTCAAGCAAATCACTTTCCCCCATCCAGCTCATTTTTCTCACTGGGAAAGCTCTTTGGCTACTCTCATATGAACTTGGTCAGGACCCTCATCATCCTAAAAAGGTTAAAATATTAATTGCAGGGCAGCAATGGAGACACAGACACAGAGAACAGAAGACTTATGGACACGGTGGGGGGTGGTGAGGAGAGGGTGGAAGGTATGGAGAGAGTAACATGGAGACATACATTACCATATGTAAAACAGATAGCCAATGGGAATTTGCTGTATGACTCAGGGAGCTCAAACAGGGGCTCTGTAACAATCTAGGAGGGTGGGATGGGGAGGGAGATGGGAGGGAGGTTCAAGAGGGAGGGAACATAGGTATACTTACGGCTGATTCATATTGCTATTTGGCAGAAACCAACACAATACTGTAAAGCAATTATCCTTCAATTAAAAATAACTACAATATTGCAAAGTAATTAGCCTCCAACTAATTAAAATAAATGGAAAAAAATTTTTTAAAGAAAATGAAATTGAAAAACAAAAGGTTAAAATGTGTTTAAAAGCAGGAATAGTTTGGCAATGGGATTTGTTTCCCATAGCTGGCACATTCATGCTTTTTTATGGACATTATCCCAACTGCTCCCAGCTGCCCTTTTGGGGGCAATATATAATTTTAATGTCTTTGAAAAAAAAAGTACAGATGTTTACAAACTTTCAACACCTAGAGCAGTGACGATGTTTCATTATCAAACAACCTCATGTCTCCAGTTATGCCAGATCAGTGAGGGACGTTTTTGTACCCAAAATACTGGGTTGGCCAAAAAGTTCATTCTGATTTTTCCATAAGATGTTACAGAAAAATCTGAAGGAACTTTCTGGCCAACTAATACAAGGCTGAGGGCTGCCACTGCTCCCCCTCCCCTGCCATGCCCCTGGCATGGATGGATATTTGTGTCCTCCCTCCATATCCCATTCAGGCCCCCCTGCCTGGCCCTGAGATGACTCTCACAGCATCATCTCTTCTCTTCTCATTGTCTTGGACCACTGCCCAATCCCTGGCCCCCACCTGCAAGTTCCTGGGGCTGGAACTAGGACTGGAGAGGAGCCAGTGGGGCAAGGCCAGTATATCTTCAAGGAGTGAATCCTGGGAATGAAAGTAAGTTTGTCTAACTTATTAATAGCTCCAGTAAAATACCATATGGGCTACAAGGTCAAAGCCAATGCCTTGAATGAGGCTTGTGTATTTTCAGTGCATTTAAGTAACCCATAATATCTTTGTCCTGCTACTACTGAGAAACCAGCTGTCTTGAAGCAAGTTGACTTAATGCTGAGGTGACTTCATGTGTGTTTGATGAGGCTCAAACAGACATCATCAGGTATAAGCATTTAAGCCCTAGGCAAGCAAGTTTCTGATGACCTTCAGAGGAGAATAAATCAATAAACATACACCTCTAACTTTACCCATCATTGGTTAAGATAGTTTAAGCGTCTCCTTTCTGACTTAAGATTTACACTCTTTGTTGGCTTTTTCTCTTTTAAATAAGCCACTTCTTTGAGAGAGTTACAAAGGTGCCTTCTAAAAATTAACTTTGATAATAGCTAATAGTGATGGGTATGAGATGTTGCTTTCATTTAAAGTCTATGCCAAAAAACTGCAAAAGGCAAGTGAAAAATCCTTATTTAGCACTGTGATATTTGAAAGTGCTTCAGAATTAAGGGAAAAGGAGAATAAAGCCATTATAGCTTGGAAACATTTGAAGAAAAAAACAACCCATTTAGCCATATATAAGCCTTTTCTTCACCCACAGTGACATCTATGACATTGGAACTGGATATCACAACAACCCAACTCCTAAATCTAAACATTATTTCCAAAAAACAAAAAGAATTCATTCTGTATATAGTGCTGGGTCTCAACGCTGGGATCTTTGAGAAAAGAGTCTTAAGCCATTTTTAAATGACCTTTATTACCTGCCTCTGACATTCCCCAGGTTACAGAGCAGGAGACGACTGAGCCTCGTGTTCCATGGAGGAAGCAGATAGCTGCCCTAACAACTGAATCAAGATAAGAGAGGCACAGGGAAGTACTGGGGTAATACACCCAGCAATGTCTGTCCATGGCAGAAGATGGCAAAGCTGCTCAAAAGTAGGCAAGTTACCTTTGGATGACAACTGGAAGCCAGAAAACCATACAGTTGGGACTCAGACGTCTTCCCCACCCCTAAGCCCCCTCCCCCACCAGTCCCCATCAAATCCGTTCTACACCACAGACTGGACCTAGTGTCTTGCTTAGCTCCCTGCTGAAGGAGGAGGGAGGGAAAAGACGTTTGAGGTCTCATTTTCTTTGTCTCTGTCCCTAAGGCAACAGGAAGTTGGAGCTGCCGCGGCCGGCCTGGCAGTGGCGGCAAGCACGTTGGCTCTGCAGAGTCTGAGCCCCTGGAGCAGCTGCCAGTTAGACGGCCCAGAGTTCAGGTAGACTTCACCGCTTCAGTTCAATGCCAAGTGTTGGACGTGTTGGATTCAGTTCCCAGGGGCCTGGAGCTTGGTGTCAGGGCTGTCTGAAGACAAGCGAGCAGAGGCAGTTTAGGGTGGTGGGATGTGCGGGGTAGGGGTGGGGGTCTGGGGGGCGGGGGAGAGGAGCGAGAGGCTGGCCCGGAGGGTAATGCTTCTTCCACGGCCCTCCAGGCGAGATCTCCTGGCCTCTCAACGTCTTCTGAGCCTCAGGGGAGGCAAGCCCTGGAAGGGGAGGAGAGAACACGGCGAGACAAGCGAGCTGAGGAGGGAGCGGGCGAGCCAGAGAGCTGGGTGGCGGTTTTAGACCCCCTCGGTGCCCCGGGCCATGGCCGGAGCGGGCAGCCCGCCGGGGGCGAGCTGGCGGCGGCCCTCGGCGGGCGAGCCGGCCAATGTCTCGGCGTCGGCGGTGACCGGGGCCCCTCCCTGCAGCCACTCGTGCTGGGCGCAGGCCTGGGACGGCTCGTCCTTGGCCTCGACGAGCTTGCGGGAGCGGGTGTAGGCTAAGATGAGACCGCCGGCCAGGCAGGCGTAGAAGACCATGATGAGCAGGATGTAGAGATAGGCGTCGTCACCCTTGGCGCTGGTTACCTCGCGGCCCACGAAGGGGTCGGGCACGACCCCCATGCCCATGCTCGGGCCGGGGCCGGCGCCCAAGCCACTGGCGTTGCCCCGGTGATGCAGCTCCAGCAGCAGGCGGCTCAGCAGGGTCCGCAGCCGCTGACTCTCGCTGCAGTTCATGGCTGTCGGGGAGTGACACGGCGGCTCCAGATCGCTGTTGACCTTGCCCCCGGGCCAGGCCGAGGGGGTGCGGGCGGGCGAGCGGCGGCGGTACCCGGCTCCTCCGGGGCGGGCGGCGGAGTGGCTGGGGGGCCCAGCCGCCCGGGCCTCCTTATTCCCTCACCCCCGCACCTCCTCCCCTTCCCCACCACGCCCCCTCGGCCCGAGGCCGCCTCTTCCCAGGCTGTCTCGCTGCCCCGGGGATAGGGGACAGCTGGTGGGGGGAGGAGAAGGGGACGAGGGAGGGGGCGAGGCCAGGAGAGGGGCGAAGGGGGCGGGGGGCGCGGAATGCGCGGGGGCCCCCGGCGGCCAAGACTGGCTGGGCGGCTCACTGGGGCCAAGCCTGGACCCCGGGCTGCAGCGGAAGAGAATTCCTTCTAAGTTCTGGCCACCTGCCCTGCAGGCCCAATTTTGGCCCAGTTACAGCATCTGCCCACCGCCCCGCCCCTGCCCCCCCCCCCCCCCCCCGCCAAGGCCGGCACTGTGCGGGGTTCCATCAGCTCTCACAGAATGTGGCAGCAGAGACCGCTGGTCCGCCTCTCAGAGCTGGTGATTACTGATGTAGACAAGGACCCTGGCCTAGCTTCCCAGCCATCATTGCTTCCCCTGGATGGAGGAGGTGAGCATCTTATTCAGAAGATGCTCAGAACAAATATGGCGACTGAAGTGGAGTAGGATGCCCCAGGCTTCCAAAAAGGCTTCTGATAATATACTAGCCTCCTGGGAAGTACCCCTGCTCTGATCGCCTATCACATTTTTAGAGGGGCCTCCACATCTTAGCATGTGAGTGTAACATCTATTATGTGACCCTGTTTTCCCTTGGGTGGCAAGTCATCTTCCCAGATAAGCAGCCAAGTTCTTCCATTAAAAGGAGCAGGGACATTTAAAAGACCATTTGGCTATACTCTAGACATCTCAGGATCTGAAAAGTGCCAATTCTAGAGAATTTGCTGACCTCCACACCCAATTAGGCTGATATCCAGCTCTGTGCCTCTGTGGGCCTTGGTAATAGGTCTTGGCCCTGCTGGCTCATGCAGCAGTCATTTTTTTTTTCCTCAGAGGGTATTCCCTGGTGGCTCAGTGGTAAAGAATCTGCCTGCTGATGTGGGTTCAATCCCTGGGTCTGGAAGTTCCCCTAGAGAAGGAAATGGCAACTCACTCCAGTATTCTTGCCTGGAAAATGCCATGGACAGAGGAGCCTGGCAGGCTACGGTCCATGGGGGTCACAAAGGGTTGGACATGACTTAGCAACTAGACAACAACAACAGTCTTCTTTTAGGGGGAATCAAGGCACTAAGACAGAGATAAGTTCATAGTATGTCCAACTGGAAACAGACTGGGATTCACAAAGAGAAACTGCTCAAAGGATTGATTTCTAAACAGCGAGTAGGAAAAAAAATGTAGTGCTGGTCAGGTCTCATATATGATTGCCAAGTAAGAATAAAAGGGATTTTTTAAAAAAGCTATATGCCTGTATGCACCCCATGCAAATAAAGCTGCCTGTTTAAGATCATTCAGTCCAGGGGCCATTTGATCTGCAAGGACCATAGGTTTAAAAAGATATGTTTTTCTGATGTCTCTGCTTCATCCACCCTTCAACTAGAGGGCCAGCCACTGCGGGGCTGTAGCCTTCTGTATGTTGGAGTGAAGGTGGCACCAAACCATACCCAGGGTCTCAAACAGAACCTTGCTTAGCAGCCTCTACATACCTCTTAGAGACATTCCACGTGACCCTGACCACTGCATCCCTCCTAATCACCTTGCCTCAATGTCCTCACCTCAGAGGGACTCAGGGAAGAACTGTTCAAGTGAATTGGTATGACTAATGCCAGAGGACACAGCTAGGAAATTCTCAAAGCACTACCAACCTAACGACAGAAATGTTAAGCTAAAAAACCTCTCTGATCTGTTAAAACATTTAAAACATGCCCATAATACCTAGGGTTTTTTGTTGGGGGGAGTGGGAGGAAGAAGCCTCTTTACTGTAGCATGAATACAATCATTGAAACTTTTACTTTCAACAGGCTTATAAGCCAATAGATTCAAATGGTTAAGCAGCAGGACTAGAATAATAAAGTTTGACCTTGTTCCATGTCATAACACATGACTCTTGTCACATGGTCGATATCCATGAGCTGCCTCCATTTTCTCACCCCTCCCTTTCCTTTCCATTCCTGGAAACTTCTAGAGTCCAGCGCTTTTGGACAAAATTACTCTGTCAGTAAGTTCACCAACACCCTCAGGGCCAAATTTAAGGGTCTCTTCTCAGTTTGCATCTTTGACGTCAAGAGTGAATTTGATACCATCAACCGCCCACTTCTTCCTGTCCTACCCTTGGCTCTGGTGGTATGGGTTCTCAAGTTTCTCTTCTTATCTCTCTGATGCATCATTCTCTGTCTCCTTTGCTGGCTCCTGTTCTTTCCTCCTCCCATTAGCTGTTGGAATTCCCGAAGACTCAGTCCTCAGCTATTCTCTCTTAACATCCATTTCCTTGGAAAGTGTCTCCTTACATGGTCTCACCGACCACATGGCATTTATTTAGCCAAATCTGAATCTCTAGCTCTGATTCTTTCTTGTTAGCATCTTTTAGATCAATCCATTCCTTCCTTTCTGGTTTTATCACCACAAGCTTAATCCAAGCTCTCATTACCTCAGGTCAAATACGCAAACTGAGAGTCTCCTGTCAGATCGCCCTGCCTACAACCCAGTCCACCTTGCTATGACTGAAATAATTCTCCACCAACACCACTTCCATCCATTCACCCCTGTGTTCAGAAACCCAAAATTGTTCCCCACTGCTTCTTTAATCTTCTTTGATGGGTCTGAAGTCCTCATCACGAATAGACACGACCTTCTTCCTTTGCACTTGCAAAATAGCATATTCCTGGAGTTCCTCTCCAATACTCTGGGTCTTTCATCTTCCTCAAAATACACTGACAAAAGGAAGTCTTGCTTGATGCCCCTATTTGTGCTCTCAGAGTCCTTACAACACACCCCGCCTGATAGTGCCCCAACTCAGACTGCAGTATTCAATGCACAAAATTTGGAAAACACAGAAAAACACCAAGAAAAAGAATCCCCAAGAGCACACAGATGTTTCACATGAACACACACACATACAGGCACACACCATACATATATCATTGTTTTGTAGCCTTTTTCACTTAACAAGACACTGGGAATTTTTCCTCATGTCAGTAACTATTTTTTATAACATCATTTTATTATCTACACAGTATTCTGTACTATGGACCTGCTATGATGTATTTAAATGAGCTCTTATTGTAAGATTTCTGGTTAATTTCAAGGTTCTTGCTATTAAAGATAATGTTTTCATGAATACATACAAGGTTAATTCTAATTCCTTTAAAAGAAATAATTATCAGAGAGAAAGCAAGTTACACATTTGCAGAAGACTGGCATAGGGAGCGAGAGATGTATAGAAGGGAGTGGAAACAGGAATGGAGACTAGTCATAAAATTTAAAAAGGCCCAACCCTCTGAAAAAAACAACAGGTGTGTGTGGGGAAGACTCTAGCTTTCTTTTCACTCAAGGGGCTGGATGCTGGACAACCCTACAACCTCAGCCCTGAATGGCTGAGATGCCAACCCCCTCCGACCCCCTACTTAATGAAATTGTGAATCCATCAGACAAGGATTGAATCTCATTCCTCCCCAGCTTTACATCCCCTCTACACCTGTCCCATACCTGTCACATAATCATCTGTTTATCCATTGTCCAGAACTCACTTATTTCCTGACTGGTAATCAAGTTTGTTGACAAAGGGAAGGAATTTATAATCATGTGTTTAGACTTTCAAAAAAGTCTTGGAAAAGGTTCTGTTCCATGCCAGGGTTGTTTTAAAAGTACAATTGAGGCGCCATGGGCTAGGAAATGCTTTCACCATTCCTTGAAACTGTGAATGTTTCCTGCCAATAGCACAGCTCCATGGAAGTTGGTTGAATCGAACTGAGTTGAGTTTGGCTAGTTGCCAAAGGACGGGCACAGATCGTAAGCACTGTTGGAGTCCAGGAGGCTGGCAAAGCTACAATGGGCTCCAAGGGAGGGGAGGAAAGAAGGCTTCATGAAGCACCAACTACAGACCGAGAAAGAATCATTCATTCATTCATTTCTTCAATGAATACTTGTTGCATGTTACACTGTGCAAGGCACTGTGCTGGATCCTAGAGACACCTCAGCAAACAAGTCACACTGGTGAGCTGGCTGTGGCTTTGATGGATCACAGACACTTCTTTGTGAACTGGGCCAAAGCAGGGAGTGCAGGATCTGGAATGGGATGAGAGGTGGGCATGAAGGATAGCCAGAATTCTGATTGGGAGAGAATTTTGAGTCTGGACCTAAGCATTAGAGTCCAAAGACTTGTTTTAAAAAGGAAGAGTCCCCTTAATTCAAAAGAGGGAGGAGAATAAATGGGACAGTTCCTGGATCCCACTGGGACTTCTCAGTTGCTTCATGGGATTGTGTGCAGTATTGGGGGTAGAGGGACTGTGGTTTGATAAAATCAATATTTATGGGTTCAAGTGAACCCCAGGGGCTTCATGTGCCTATTTTGGAGATTTCTTGGAGATGGGCTTGTGCTGAGGTCACCCTATAACCAGGCCACATATGGGAGCATGAAATATGGCCCCTGATCTCATTTATCAAATGCCTGTTGATGTTATTCAGTCACTCAGTTGTGTTTGACTCTTTGCGATCCCATGGACTACAGCATGCCATGCTTCCCTGTCCTTCACCATCTCCCAGAGTTTGCTCAAATTCATGTCCATTGAGTCAGTGATGCCATCCAACTATCTCATCCTCTGTTGCCCCCTTCTCCTGCCCTCAATCTTTCCCAGCATCAGGGTCTTTTCCAATGAGCTGGCTCTTTGCATCAGGTGGCCCAATTATTGGAACTTCAACTTCAGCATGAATCCTGCCAATGAATATTCAGAATTGACTGG